ACGACTGGACATCATGCTAAGATTTGCATATACCAGTCCATGTGGTCTTCCTAGACTTTGAGAAGGCATTTGACACTGTTCGACATGACCTTCTCCTGCGTAAAATAAGCCAGGCAGGTATAGGTAAGCCACTTCTGTCATGGTTAAAGTACTACCTGGCTGAAAGGCAATTGTGCACTAAGGTCAATCTTGTACGATCACCTTGGTACAGCTCGTCATCAGGAGTGTTGCAGGGTCCCATCCTAGGCCCACTGATGTTTTTTATTTTTACCATTGATCTATCATCCCGTCTAAGCCGCCCGAATGTTCTATACGCTGACGACGTAAAGATATAGAGGGCGATAAAGTGTTCGGAAGACTCAGATAGGCGACAGACAGACCTGAAACTTCTGGAAGACTGGGCGGTGGGCAGTGGTACGGCTTTCAGTCCGAAAAAGTAGTGAAATTACGCACATGTAGGCTGCAGAATGCAAGCTACACCTTGTGCAACAAAAGCTCGTCGTACACAACGTCCGAGCTTGACTTAGGTCTAGGTCTAACGGGGAATATGGACACAAGCGTAAATTAAACGGGGGATGTCGCGAGGGCAAATGCGGTTATGTGCTTTACACATAGACAGTTAAGTGCACTCACTCCTGAGCTCTTTCTAAGGTTGTACAATACATACGTCAGACCACACCCTGAAATGCATGATATTATTGTACCCCCACCGCTTAGAAGAGACGCCAACCTCTTGGAAAGAGTCCAACGATGGGCAACAAAAGGAGTGGTTGTTCTCCGAAATAAACTATATGATGTAAGGCTGAAGAAATTAGGCCCGTTCAAACTTAGCTACCGTCGTCTTACGGGGGATTTAATTACTGCCTACAAAATAACAAATGACCAGAATCACCCAAATAAAGGTGTTCTGCAATTGAGTAGGTATAGGCTTCCTCGTGGAAATTCCAGAAGGATAGCTCATCAGATGGCATGGATTCTGGCGCGCTCCAACTTCTTTTCACTGCGGGTTTGCCGTCCCTGGAATTCCTTACCGACAGATGTAGATATGGCACCGTCTGTGGACGCCTTTAAGCGGAGGCTGGACAGTCATGCAGAGGCACAAGGACTGCATCCAACTGGCCTATCCCCTTAACATCGGCAGCCTGTAGACGGCCGTAATTTTGAGTGACCGCGAATGAGATAAACAAGCGATTTGCTAGCTCGTGATTGGCCAGTTTGTCATTCTAGTTGAGGTAATTTCAAACATCATTTTGCTGCTTGGTTAAGTACTGAATTTCCGGGATCGTTTTATCAAATTTGAGAGATAACTGACAACACAAACTATTACAGCTCAGGAGGGAAATGAAATACCGGTGGATTTATTTGCTGAATTCAACGAATTCATGCCAAATTAAGATCTAAGGACTTCTCATGAGTGTCAAGAATGCAGACAATGTTCTGAAGAGGTAATAACTTCACGCAACTTCAATTATTGCTTGACCATTGTTTTCAGAGATCCTTAAATAAGTATGATATACACAGTGGTCTGGCTAATCATGATCAAAATGGCATGGTTCATGCAGCATATACATATACTCATGTATATGTAGGTAAACCTAGATAAACTGTGTTCTTGTCACGAAGATCGGAAAGCAGGTATCAGATGTCTCAGTAAGCAGTGTAATACATGTAAGTTACATGTTTTTATTTGACACAAGCTGGATCTTCACTCACTTTCAGAATTAATCTTGAATTCAGTTGGAATAAGCTTGTTGAGCACATCAGTATTGAGAGAATACAGTGAAAGTAAGTAAACACATGCTTCTTAAGATTAAGTGATACATCTATTTGACATGATTGTATAATTATTAGTTGTCTATCTAAGTTAATGATGAATTCGTTGCGATGATAATACCTATTATTGTTTTTATAGTCACTGTGAACATGAATGTCATTATTATTGCTGTCAATACCTATTATTTGTCATAAAGTGGTTGTCATTTTTGCTAAAATATTTGTACAAGCTTTGAAAACTACTGCATAACTTGTTGTTAGATAATTTTATCATTTCATGATGCTTCAATGGACCTACTGGATATCGACCAGCGATAGGTTGCAAAGTCCCTTAAGTTTAGTGAAAACTATTGGGCTACTTATATGTACATATATATATATATATTGTTTGTAAAGTGATTACTTGTAAATGCTTATCAGGAAAAATTTTTTATTCAGATCATGCATGTAATACCCAAGTTAATTATGCTTTTCTTAAACCTTTTCAGACTTATGTAAAAACATATATGTGCCGTGTTCTCAGATGGAACTTACTGACGGTAACAAAGGACTACTCATCTGAATTATCTGTACATTTGAAATCTGATTTTTGTTTAATAAACAATTTTTCAATGAATCTGTCTTCCTTCTGTTGTAATGCGATTGTGTTCCAGTAACATAAGTAACTCGTGCTAAGTTAGGAGTTGAGGGTAAACTGTTAGGAGTAAATGCGGTGTCTGGAAAACTTTTGTTTACGTGGTTATATGAGCAGATAGCAACGCATCGTGTTCCGTGGGTGAGAGCCCTAGGCATTCTGTTTTTAATTATTACGATAACCGTAGTTGCACTGAGTTATACACCTAACAGCATAGGTATAGTCTCTCCTTATGGTACATTGCGACATGCAGAAATCACAAGCAAACTATCTCAGGTAGATTTATTCTCAATTGGTGACTATGAATCGGGAATCAGTTTACGTATTCTGCTATGACGATATATAACTCGAAACGCTTTATAATCGCAACACCTTCTCTACGGTTTAGGCATATTTACTTTATTTGACCACAACATAATCTTTTACCAATAGGCTTTTCCAAATATCTGCTCCTACTTAGTATTTCAAAGATAGCCTCATATACTCTATACCTCACATATTACGCAAGGGCTAATATTCGGTCTTATCAAGTAGAATAAACAAACGATTAACGAGGAATACATTTATTAATGAATTAACATGTAATACAAAATCGACAACAGTGCAGGTATCTTTTTCTTTATCAACGAAATCCATGAAATTCCCAAAAGTAGATATTATCTGAAAAAGGACATAAGATATATACAGATATAGACATTGTTATCAGTATTAACACAATAACTAACCATTAAATATGTTTAAAATGACGAAATAATTACTTGAATTGTATATAATTATGTAAGTCAACAGTTTTCAATAATATAAAATCCATATTGCATCTGCCTGCAAACATCAAGTTTATGCCATAAAAAAAGGAATTACTTTGCGTATATAATTTCTAAGTATTTCTGCAGATTTTTCCTAGAGAAATACATATGGAGTAGCCATGTCAGCATTACGAAAATTAAACAAGGAAGTAAATGATGTAATTAACGAAACGAGCTATCCCACCTCGTCATGTCCATGTGTAATCCATTAAAATGCAAAGAAAATTCACGAAAAAATCATTATAACATGTTTCTTCAAGTAATTCGACGTATTTTGAACGGAAAAGTACGTTTTTCCAAAAAACTGCAAACTGCCTGTAAGCTATGGCCGGATAAGGACACCACCATTGCCTATTTCTGCTAAATACGCCGTATTTCATCAACTTTTAACTGGAATATGTGTAAAAAAGTGTGTAAAACAACGAAAAATGACCTAACCTTGACGTCATTTCCAAAAATAACGCCAATATTCATCAGCTGATCAAGTGACCTACGGCCGTCTACAGGCTGCCCTTAACATCGCATACACCATCCAGGAGTAGACAATTAAACTTCACTAATTATATCAATTATTATTATCTTTTCTCTTGACGACGATACCGGAGGACTAACTGGTAAAAGGGTCAACTCCACTAACAGCAATAACAAAGTCCCAACACACCACATACTACAAACAACATGTAATTAATCCCAGCCCTGCTCCTTTTGGAGTCAACCAGAGCTACGACAGTCAAGTGGCGGGACGAGCTACGCAGAAGTTTACCGAAGATCAGGAGCCTATACCTCACAATCAAGAGGCGATCACAAAGAAATCAAGTTGATTTATACTGGCTCGTAAAAACGATATTGGATAACATAATCTTGTGGTGAAATTTAATTTTTCACATTTCAATGTTGTTATTGAATATTGAATGACCTAAGAATCATTATTCTTTAAGCACATCAGTCGTTATCGTTAAGTGGTTAGTGGCGTGTTTTCTTCCGTGGAATTCTCTCCGAAGGTAACTAAATTTTTGGCAGCTATTCATTTATTTGCTGGTGATAACCCATGTGGTACAGATGATTAAATTCCGTCAGGAGATTTTAGATTACACAGTCTTATCTTGTTTTGATATATTTCAAAAAGAATACCCACGTGGTCGTCTACCCTTATCAGAAATGCGCTGAATTTCAAGACGGTTGTTTCTAAAGAGTCTTCATTAGGAAATACAGTGGAAAAACTTTGCTTGAGTAAGAACTTGTTACAGTCATGGCTCTAACAGGTGAAGCCAAAAATTTAATTTTTCTCCGGCACACAAAAGCATCAGCAAACCTGTTGCTCATATTTTCCGTACATGATAAAATCTGTTTATAATAGTGATAAAAACGCATATGACATGTAGTTACGAGTCTTTACTGAGATAGCACTATGTAGTCTGAATATTTATGCTCTCATTATTTTTGACTCCGAACGTTAGTCTCTTAATCTGCATGCTCGTAAGTCCAGATGAAAGGTAGGGAGACAAACATGACATTACTTTGGATTTCTTTGGTAACTGGATCTGTGACTATACATCTGTAGTTAAGTTGGATAATTTCCCACTGGTTCATCTCGTTTTTCTTATGGTTTGGATTTCATCAGAAGCACAAATAATACAAAACTATAAGCATAGGTCCGTGTATAGAATTGTACAGTATTTGCATATGTCTATAATTGTCTTCTAATTTACTCTAATTTCAAATGACGCATCTTTATTTTAGAAATATTTAAAAATCTGGGATCACTCTGTAGAACGGATTTCCGAGAAATGATCGCAGCTGATATAAATATTTTGCAATCAAAGTTTACCACCCTCTTCAAAACCTCTAGAAATCGAGTGCATTTAGCATTTTTGCAACAGTTTAGCAATGCCGTAAGTTTCCTTAACTTTCAACATTTCTTTCATTTTTGAGTCAAAGTAAATTTTACAAGCAGATGTTCTTTATATGCTTCAAAATCTTACCTGTATTATTTTCGGTCAAAGTGATTATTTTAAAAAAGGATATTGAACTGTAAAATGTTTGAGTAAACCCTAGCAAAACAACTCGATTTTGCATAGTCGTTCTGATTTTCAATTACATTTAATTACACTGGTGGAGAAGTAGATTCTTAAAGCCCTGGTATTGCGCTAAAATCAAAGGAATAATAGTTAACCTCAAGGCAATTACTATCACTTTTTAAGTATCTCTGCTGATGTCTTACGACAAAATCAAGTTAAAGGAGGGGATGTGGCAGCAGTTTATACTCTTCTTTTAGATGATCAGCTGCTTTATTCCCACTGTTCATGAAGTGTTAGAATGAATCGATTAAAGAGGTAACATTTCTCAATTTGCTCCAAATAAGTTATCCGCCTGTTATAAGGTACTTTTTCCTTTTATGACTACCAATGCTGTCACATTTGTTTCACATATCAAGTAGACATAGAAGTAGCAAGTGTCCTCAGGTATCCATATGCTTATTGCATACCTGCCAAACTCTTTTACAGTTTCATTCTTCATCACGTTTTTCACTGCTAATACGTTTTCCTATGCAGTTGCTTAATTGTTTTGAAACTCTTATATCCTTACCAACAATCACATTAAACTAAGCACTGTTTATACTGTCTTAAAGCCAAATCACCAACTGCACACCGGTGATTTGAACATTCAACCGCTGTGCTTGCTCGGATAAAGAGTTCTGTAAACCTGAAATCCAGCATTTCGTGATATAGATGTTTCTTACAAGCTTAGTGAAGCTTGTGTGTGTTGTGTGTCTTACACTTACAACGGTCTCAATTATGCATGACTCATCTTTACAAGATCTGACTATTTATCATTTATTTGTCTATTAATGAAAATATATTTTAGATGTGATAGTAAAGTAATGGTGGCTGACTAATCCCTGGTAACAATTTTCACGCAGTTATGTGATGAATGTTCACTCTACTCTTGCTTTTGTTTTTTTGTTTTTGTTAAGTATGATTTTGACTGAAATTACACTTGTCTTTTTGATTAGGTGAAGATATGTTTGAGTGCATTATCGATTAATTGTTTGTTTGGTGATGACCTGTTGGTAGTTTATTATTTTCAGTCGGTAGAGTATGAAGAGTTAAACAGTTCCGTATTACGTAATATATTGGGCTGACCTGAAAATAGGATCAGTCTGTCTGATTGACATGGATGATTACGTAATGACTAAGTAACCTGAATTTATTGAACTGGTAGCTTATCGTAAATTCATGCATTTTTTTGTAGTGTGTAGCGAAATGTTAGGCATCGGTGGTTTTATTCGTGACTTGACCTTTGTCCTATAATGCACACATTTATTTTAGAAGTAATGGTAATATTGACTGACTGACTGACTCACCCCTGATTACAGCTCAAAAGGAAAAAAATGACTATGTGATGAGTATTCACTTTGTCTTTGTTTTTGACATGATTTTGCATGACATGAAGTGAAGATATGGCCGAGTATAATTCTGACTGAGCGAAGATATATTAGGAGTCTATTAGGATTAGTGTGTAGGACAAAAAGTTTTGATCCGAAATACTACTGATAATGTCATATGAGTAGTTAAAGGGCGATTGCTTCAGAAAACGATGCTTTCTGCCTACATCGAATTGATCTCAACACAGGGTGTTGGTTTCGCTCGCTTTGGTCCAGTTCATTCATTCAGAGAGCTGAATCACTTCAAAGTGTCCTAATTCTGGCTAGCCTATTCGAGTTAATTGAGAATAAAAAGAATGTAGATGTTTCTTACATTCTTGAGGTGTACTTGTGGCTTACAGATTTGAACTCTTTATTTTCGGCCACTGGAACTCTCCACAACTCTTACGGAGGCTTTTGCAGCGAAGTGGTATAATTAATGTCCCCAATAAACATTACTCAAAGCAGGCTGCGTCTAAATGCAATGAGTCTTCCTTAGATCTTAGGCGCAGATACAAGGCCTAGTTATGTTTATTTACTTAACCCAGCCTAATTAAGCTTCTACACTTACTGAATACTAGAGTAAAGTCGTACATACAAGTGACGCACTTCTCATTTCAATCGTACTTTTGCATATATATATACTTATTTTGGCTGGTAAAACGTTTATTTAATCGAGGAAGTTATTGTTAGAGTCCCTGTGTATTTTTACTCTGTAGGAATTTTGTATTTTCATTATGAATGTACTCTATTGTTTCAGGTTAATTCATTCCAACATGAATGCCAGTCAGTATTAAAAGAATTCGAATTGAGAACAATAAACTTCTTGGTGGTCAGAAATGTGCACAAATGTTCATGTAATACGAAAATTGGTTTATGGATTGAAGAAATAAATGATTTTATCTATAAATTTGAAGTAAGAGTATCCCAGTTTTTACTATTTTGTACGTTATTAACATTTTACACTCAATCCAAGTTCCACCTGAGCAATGGCCTGGCTCGAGATGTCACTCACTGGTTTCCTTAGTATGTGTCTGACGCATCTCCATTCCCTTCGACATATTTATTGACCAATATGTACTTGGTTGGTTCGTTCCTAGAGTTCGCTGTTGCTGATCCTTACCAGACACCTGAATTTAAGTATAAAGGGAAGGCAGCTGTCGATAAAAGTTTGCGTCAGGCTGTTGGACGTCTATTCTCTGGACCACATAAAAGTATTGACTTGACACTGATGTTGAAAATCTGAATCTTGCTCTTAATGCTGAGTGCAGCAAATTTCTAAATTGGTTTAAGAGTAGTTGCTTTGGAATCTTCATTCGGGCTGTTACCTGTAGTTGAGTCACTTCCTTCTAATTTTTCCGTTGATGGTGGGTGGTACTTGTTGTTGTTGTTGCTATTGCTGACCAGGTGTCTTCATCATCCCGGCCTTCTCTTTATTTACTTGAATTCCTGTCTCCGCTGACTGTATCTCCTGAAAATCTGCCGGTTTTCGCCTCCAGATCTTTGAGTTTGTGTGACATTAGACGTATATCATCCTTGAAGTCCAGAACTCTTCTTATCGGTCTAATGTATTCCCATCTTCTGGCCGCCCACAGTCTGTTGCGTGATAAAGTCCACCACAATCAGGAACATCACCAGTGATAATAGGCAGTCTTTTCTTACTTCAGTCTTCGCTCAAAATGCTTCTCTTAGTTTTCTGCTGTGAATCAGTGACATCACCATATAGCTGTTGAACAGGGTTGATAAAAATTTGTGGCACTACACTCCATGGTGTTAAAGTAGTTTCCAAATTACCTAGTGTAAACGCCGTCGAAGGATTTTTCGAAATCGATGAAGTTGAGGTAGAGATTTACTTAACCCAGCCTAATTAAGCTTCTACACTTACTGAATACTAGAGTAAAGTCGTACATACAAGTGACGCACTTCTCATTTCAATCGTACTTTTGCATATATATATACTTATTTTGGCTGGTAAAACGTTTATTTAATCGAGGAAGTTATTGTTAGAGTCCCTGTGTATTTTTACTCTGTAGGAATTTTGTATTTTCATTATGAATGTACTCTATTGTTTCAGGTTAATTCATTCCAACATGAATGCCAGTCAGTATTAAAAGAATTCGAATTGAGAACAATAAACTTCTTGGTGGTCAGAAATGTGCACAAATGTTCATGTAATACGAAAATTGGTTTATGGATTGAAGAAATAAATGATTTTATCTATAAATTTGAAGTAAGAGTATCCCAGTTTTTACTATTTTGTACGTTATTAACATTTTACACTCAATCCAAGTTCCACCTGAGCAATGGCCTGGCTCGAGATGTCACTCACTGGTTTCCTTAGTATGTGTCTGACGCATCTCCATTCCCTTCGACATATTTATTGACCAATATGTACTTGGTTGGTTCGTTCCTAGAGTTCGCTGTTGCTGATCCTTACCAGACACCTGAATTTAAGTATAAAGGGAAGGCAGCTGTCGATAAAAGTTTGCGTCAGGCTGTTGGACGTCTATTCTCTGGACCACATAAAAGTATTGACTTGACACTGATGTTGAAAATCTGAATCTTGCTCTTAATGCTGAGTGCAGCAAATTTCTAAATTGGTTTTAGAGTAGTTGCTTTGGAATCTTCATTCGGGCTGTTACCTGTAGTTGAGTCACTTCCTTCTAATTTTTCCGTTGATGGTGGGTGGTACTTGTTGTTGTTGTTGCTATTGCTGACCAGGTGTCTTCATCATCCCGGCCTTCTCTTTATTTACTTGAATTCCTGTCTCCGCTGACTGTATCTCCTGAAAATCTGCCGGTTTTCGCCTCCAGATCTTTGAGTTTGTGTGACATTAGACGTATATCATCCTTGAAGTCCAGAACTCTTCTTATCGGTCTAATGTATTCCCATCTTCTGGCCGCCCACAGTCTGTTGCGTGATAAAGTCCACCACAATCAGGAACATCACCAGTGATAATAGGCAGTCTTTTCTTACTTCAGTCTTCGCTCAAAATGCTTCTCTTAGTTTTCTGCTGTGAATCAGTGACATCACCATATAGCTGTTGAACAGGGTTGATAAAAATTTGTGGCACTACACTCCATGGTGTTAAAGTAGTTTCCAAATTACCTAGTGTAAACGCCGTCGAAGGATTTTTCGAAATCGATGAAGTTGAGGTAGAGATTTGCTTACCATTCTATACTCCGTTCGATGATGATGCGTAGAGTTCCAATTTGATTGCAACATGATTTTTTTCCTCAATTCAAATTGTTCTGGTAGAGGGTGAGTTTCGCATTCAAAGCACCTCTGTATCTCATCAAGAATGACACGACCTAATATTTTGCTTGGTGTGGATAGGACTGAAATTTAGTGCTAGTTCCCGCAAAGACTCAAGTCTCCCTTCTTTAGAAGTTTGACGTGGTAGCCTTCCTTGCAGTTAGTAGGTACCTTTCCTTCCTTGCAAACTTTCTGAATCGGTGGTATCAGGGCATCCACTGGGGATCTCTGGACCCCTTTTTAGTGCTCTCGTGGGAATTCTGTCTGAACTTACCATCCTCCCGGTTTCTGGTAACTTCATGGTATACAAGACTTCTACTTTTTACGGAAGGTTATTGTTCACAGACTGTTTTTTGGCTGTTTGTGGCACTTCTGGGAGAGTTGTAGGTGGCCATCTGTTCGAGAGTCGTTTGAAGTAGTCCTCCTTACTTTTTCTTTGCTCCTCTTCTTTGGTTGTTTGGTTCCCTTCAATAACCTTCATTGCTTTCAGTGTGCTGATTTCTTCCCCGATAACTACCTGTTTATCTGATATAGTGATGTGAAGTCCCTCTTACCTGTAGCCTGTTCCGCTCCAGTTGCCAGTGTCTTGCTGAGTTAATTGTCTTTTATTTTTCTAACACTCTTTATTCAGTGAGATGTACGTTGAACTGAGCTTCTTCTTCTATTGTCCTTCTTTGCATTGGTTCATCTGTCCCACCATCCTCCATCTTCTATTAGCTTCCAAGTGTCCATTTAGAGCCTTTCCTTGTCTTTCCTCTTCTTCCTTACTAAGACAGCTGCACAGGTTTCCTCCAATACCGCTTTCAAGGAGTTCCAGTATTCTTGCATACTGGTCTCCTGAGTGATGCTACCAAATATTATAAGGTTTTCTGGTAATTACTACCGGTCTATTAAGCAGCAGTTTTTAAGTTTGTCAAGTTTAAGGAGGGGGTGGGTGGGAAGGTTACTCGATGTTCGAGAAAGATATTAGGCGTTCTGTATCACGAACCAAGAGAAGTAGTTAACCACTGGGTATTGGATTCCAACTTGCTGTAGAGAATGAACACTGATAAAGAGTTCTTAAGTAGGATGAAATGACGGCGAAGTGCTTTCTAGTTTTCCAAAGTTCTAGGCTGATTTGGATATGTCATAGAATCTAGAGTTACTTTAATCAATCTCTCATAAATCCAGTATCTGAGGATTAGAGTCTGTGCAGTTCTAGAGAGCGAGGATATGTAGGCGAACAAATAAACAGGATTACGACCTCATTTATTTATTTATTTCCAACTGGTAGTCCACAAATCCTAACACTATTGGAACTGGTTGCTGGGCTCCTTATCGATATGTCAGTTGATTCCCTACACTGATGAAGCTTTCATGATGCACTAGAAAGGGGGGGTCAAGTGATTTAATACATGTGCTCTTCATCTTTGCTTATGAGATTTAATATTGCGGGGGGGGGCGTATATCTTCCACCATTTATGGGAAGCGGCACATATACAGATGAAAACAGCCTTCAAACGTATTAACTGTCTATTCATGTGTTAGTTGTTTCCTTACACATATTATCCACCTCTCTGATTATGATTTATTTCATGTGTTTACAGTATTTAAACCTATTCATTCATTTGTTTTATTTAATTTTGACATCTACAGGACTTAAAAAGGTCTCTTGCTATTCTACAAAGTATTTTTGAATCGTCATGCAGGCTTGTATATCATGTGTACCATGATAATCATTTTTCATTTGAATACGCTCAAGATGAAAAACTGACGTATCTATTAGACAGATTGAAAAGCCTGACAGGATGGTTAAATCTGGCAGCTACGGGGAATGATGTAAGTTACTTGGCTTACTGTATATTATTATTGTATCGCTAATCTAAAATATCATTTCACTTAGTAATATACTTTTAGTTTACTATTTTGTCGATCTATTTAACACCTTAGACTTATTATTTTATTTCTTTACACTCTCAGTGGAACATAGGGCTTCAAGCTAGAAGCTTTAATTTTCAGTAGCAGTGGTGTTTGTTTTTACGGAATGGGGTTGCTAGCCTCATGCCCAACCCTTTCTCTTCACTGGCTTAGCAAGGTGAGGAAGTGCGTCGGCCGAGGATCGAACCCCGAACCTCTTGCATAGCTGGCGAGCATTCTATCGACTTCAGCAGTATGCACCCACCGCCATTCGAACCTATGACCTTCTGGTTATAAGGCGAGCTAGCTCGCAAACCATTAAGCCAATGGGACCCTTAGGCTTATAAGCAGTCATTCAAATTCTTGTGATCTTTGTCCAGTTTCTCTCGCCACTTGAGAACTCAGTGTATCTGAAACGCTTAGGATAATGCTTACTCTGTCCTTCTGGGATTATTTTTTCTAAAACAACATTACTCAACTCCTTGCGTTCCATTAACTATAAAACCTTTGACTGTGGCACAACGTAACCTCTTGTCTCATCTGGAAATTTATAAATCTGTATTAATTTGCGGGTGTTGCTTGGCAGGCACTCAGGTGATTTCAAATTTGATGACTGTTCGACCTCTGGTTGAGTTGTTAGCGCATACTGACGAAGAGTTCCAAACAAAGACGAAACAGTTAGATGCCCAAAACTGTCTGGTTCTTAGTGGTTCACCAAATGAAGTCAGTTCGTGATCTAACTTGGATCCTGTATTAGATTCTTTCTTCCTTATGAATCACTGAACTGATGAGAAGGACCTTTATTATGTCACGTAGGATTTTCAAGGCTGTAAGCAGAGTTAACACTGTGGCCGAATGTTTCTCTGTGTAAGCTTTAACTTCTTCAGCAGAATTATTTAGATTTTAATAAATTCTGAGATTTGTAGTGAAATGGTCAAAGTGGATACTTACGGTGTATAAACGCTACTGTGATAAGCTGAAATCTAGTAGCTGAAGCAATAAACTGCACTTCCATTAACGTTTATTCTCAAAAATCCTGGGCATTGTTGTTAAAATAGGTTTCTAATCGGAGGGGTATTTTGATAGGGTATTTGTGGCTTTGTTTTGTTAGTCCAGAAAATCAATAAGCCTACACAAGATAAAAATACTAACTCTTGACCCAATCACTGAACACACAGAACTTTATGTGTATTACATCACAAACTGACAAAAATTAAATATCATGAGCCACTGGATCCTATCTAAAGCATTTACATTAAAACTTTCTCCCCCACAAGGCATCACTGTCTTCGACTAAATCTCTGGTGACTTCTTTTAGATGTTCACTGTAAAAGAGCTTTAGATTAGAATGAAACAATTATTCACTGTTAATTTTTTCCGGTTTGTTCATGAGTTGACATCAGTTAGAGGGAGAACCATTGGAAAACCAACACCAGAGTACTGGATAGCTGTTTCGTCCTGGTTTGGGTCGCAGTGGTTGAATGGTCTACGAGTTCACCTTCTAACTGGAAAGTCCTGGGTTCGAACTTCTGTGAATGAGTACTGATGTAGAGTCCCAAACCGGAACTATACAGCTGTCCAGTACTCCAATGCTGGTTTTCCAAAGGTTCTCTAACTGATATCAATTCGTGTTCAAACCTGTAGCCAGTTAAATCAGCTTCTATTAGACTCATTGAGAAAGGATATTCACTGAAACCCATGAAGTGTCATATACGCCTAAAACAAATATGATTTTATACAGAATAAATTAAATCTTGTCAGCTCTAAAATTTTTGTTTTTTAAAAATTATTTATTTATTTGGCAGACCATTGTTTATCAGAAGTATTGACCTATAATATTTATTATCGGTAGAAGTATGGCTACAAAGTTCACTAGCATATATATATATATATATATATATATATATATGCATATTGATGTGAATTTGTAGACTCATACGTACACACAGGCATTTAGGTTACATAACAGACTTAACTAGCAAAATAGCACGATGATGAATATCTGTCAATAGGTCTCTTTTGTGCCAAATAACTAAAATGACAGTAATTTGAATTCAGGGTGCTCATTTGATCTTATTTCACACTCATCACCTGGATGTCCCTGGATTCCCTGGCGAATGATGGTTTTCCAACTGAGGCTGGAACCTAGTACCCTTCGTTTCAAATGCCATGGAGTCATCCACTAGACCACTCAGGCCATGAGAGTCACCTCTTATGCAACATGTGTCAGTTATTATTATTCATTTTCACTTCAGTTCTGATTTTCCCTTTGATTGAATAAACCGAAGTGTTCGGCCTCAGGCACGTACAGGTGGCAAGTCCGAAGTAAGACGAAATTTTGATTGAGAAAGAAAGACCAGATTTGCAGTATAAAATGATATCATTCTATTTCACAGGTTCTCATCAGCTGCAAACTACCTGAAATTACAATGGTTATAAATAATAACATTTCATACTTCATTGTTTGAAAGGTAATAGAGAAAACATTATAAGGTGAACGCATCTGGAATATAAGTATTATAATCTAAGTCAATCACCATCAATTTATATGTTATCAAACTATGAAAGAAGAAAAAAAAGGGGGTGAGAGAAGACAGAAAACAGAAAAATCCAATAAACAGTGTCAGCATAGCAACTCAAGACGAAATTATCGTGCTGGATACCACTGCTAGTCACCGTTTATCACATTATTTCAAAGAAAAGGATTATTTTAAGGTTGATTTCCTCAGGTGTCTACAGGTTAAGCATTTCAGACAGCTGTATTCATCTGACTAGACCTGTCCTGTGTGTAGTGAAATCACGGAGTAAAAGACTGTCAGACTTAGAATGAATTGAATTCAGCTATCAGAATTATGAAGTCGTCTGAGACAGAATAATAGGGGGTATTTTTTTTACTCATAGTTAAACCACACATGTATCCTAGATTCGAATGCTAGCCAATATCAGTCGAGTAACTTCAAAAACTAACTCATGAAAATTAACCTGGTTTTCATCGCCAGTGACTGGCTACAGGATGAAGTTGGCTGTAGTTCCACTGAGAAGTTGTCATCGGTGGAGTCCATCCGATCGATAGTCAGGACAAATGCTCACCGATGACATTGACTAGTGCTGTTCACGTTAAATATGTCACGAATTGGTAGAAGTTAGAATTCATAGGCTGGCAATTGAATCGGGTCCCAGTGACTGGATGGCCTACGAGCTCACTTTGTGACTGGAAGATCTTGGGTTCGTACTTCCGATGAATCCCAAACGAAGCAAGTGGCTGTCCAGTACTCCACTGCTGGTTTTCCGAAGTTTCTCTAACTGATATCGATCCGTGTTCAAACTTGAAACAAATCAAATTCCTACAAACAAACTCTTGAAAATTTCAGATTACTCATTGTTTAAATCTTTGCTAACTATTTCTACACGATATTAATTCCACAGTGTTCAATCTCTCAAGGATAATCAAATGTCATAATCTGTGATTATTTGCTATTCTTTTTATTTCAGAATTCTAAGCCGACTGGAGTCAATGCACACGATGTTAAATATCGTTTTAAGTATTCGACTTTGATAGAAGCCTTAGATTTACATCGTGATTGTTACCAGTCCTCCTACTGTCCAATACCAATTAATGAAAAGTGTCTGTCGATACAGAATTTACAATGTGTTCATTACACTGATAGGTAAGTATAATACACGGTTGAATATGGTTTTATTTATTTTCTCATGAATATAGTCTACGTTACGTGCGTCGGTGGCACAGTGGTTAGGACTCTCGCCGACCATGCACATGGTCCGAGGTTCGATCCCCTTTCGACGCACACCTGCTATGGAATGGTCGGCCTGCAAAATTCGGGCTACCGATATCCACGCTGAAAATTCCATACATGTACCGAAAATACAGTGTGGAATCAAGCTGTAAATCAAAACAAAAAATGAATACTGGCCTGATTATATATTCTTGTTTTAACCAACTAGTCCCAAAATTAATTTTAAATTTCCTATCAGGAACTCTAAAGTAGCAGACCAGTGAAATATAATGCAAATCCGACTGTAGCAGTTTCGAATCCTACTCAGCCATTCCGGCCCTACCACCTACATCATCTTTGCTAACTGGCTAGCTAGTATGCATTGTCAAGCGTCGCACATTGTGGCCTGATAGGCAGGGATTCTTCTGGAAGTAATCTGGTTCTCAGTGGTTATAATTCTGTCGAAGGTACATATTCACTCAGACTGTTTTCTATTGCTAGTGTAATAAGGAATATTCTTTTCTTAGCGTTTTTTTCAATGCTATACAGTTATACAGTGCTGTGAAATGCCATGGCGATGCCTACATATTATTATGAAATTATTGTTCCCTTGGGTTCCAAGTGGAACATAAGGCTTCAGCAGCATATCTCCACCTTATCCCATTCTCTGTGATTGCCTTTTGCTGACCCTGTGATTGTTCATAATGTCTCACCCCCTCTTTAGACGATCTCCTCTATGTTAGCCTCGGAATAAATCCAAATTATTCGTTGACCACTCGGTGATTTGCCTATCGTGGAATGTCATTCAACGGTCTCCTCATCGTGTGTCTGATCCATCTGCACCTTCTTCTGCATATTTGTCGAGCTATGAGTTCTTGGTTGGTTCGTTTTCAGAATTTCTTGTTGCTAATTCTTTCCAGTCAGCCATTTGGTCTTCATTTTGGAGTTAGCAAAGGTTGATATTGACAGAAGTCTTCAGCGGCCTGTTGGAAATACTTTTGTGACACACTGACCGTGTTTCTGATCCATATAATAGAACTGACTGACTGACTTAACATTGGTATTGAAAATCTAAACTTTTCGTTTATGCTGCGGAGGAGTACAGAAGATTTCTATAAAGATTTCAAAGCGATGAAGTCTGTCTTATGCTTCTCATCCTGGCTGGTTTTCACATTCTCATCTGTGCTGTCTCGTGTAGTTGAAACGATCCCGTCTGGTCAGATAAGCGAAGCATATGACCTGATTCAAATGCCTCCCATTGATAGTTACTGAAGCCCATTGTCACTAGCGTTGTTTGTTGCTTTTCTCCATCACATCCAGATATCCCTGCTTAGCTGAAGTCCTATCTTCGCAGCCTGTTCTTCCTCCATCTAGTCGATTTCCGCCTGGTATTCAAGTTGATCCAAGACCCTGGAAAAGAGAAAGGGAGGGGCGCGAAGCAGGCGAATCTTTACCAGGAAATCGATCCAATCTCTACACAAACTGTAAAGTCCTTATACCAGTCAGTCATTAATATCAGGTTACAATAAAAAAACCATCATTAGGAATGCATTAATTGCATTAATTAGTTATGTGTCTCACACTTACAACGGTCTCAATTATGCATGACTCATCTTTACAAGATCTGACTATTTATCATTTATTTGTCTATTAATGAAAATATATTTTAGATGTGATAGTAAAGTAATGGTGGCTGACTAACCCTGGTAACAATTTTCACGCAGTTATGTGATGAATGTTCACTCTACTCTTGCTTTTGTTTTTTTTGTTTTTGTTAAGTATGATTTTGACTGAAATTACACTTGTCTTTTTGATTAGGTGAAGATATGTTTGAGTGCATTATCGATTAATTGTTTGTTTGGTGATGACCTGTTGGTAGTTTATTATTTTCAGTCGGTAGAGTATGAAGAGTTAAACAGTTCCGTATTACGTAATATATTGGGCTGACCTGAAAATAGGATCAGTCTGTCTGATTGACATGGATGATTACGTAATGACTAAGTAACCTGAATTTATTGAACTGGTAGCTTATCGTAAATTCATGCATTTTTTTGTAGTGTGTAGCGAAATGTTAGGCATCGGTGGTTTTATTCGTGACTTGACCTTTGTCCTATAATGCACACATTTATTTTAGAAGTAATGGTAATATTGACTGACTGACTGACTCACCCCTGATTACAGCTCAAAAGGAAAAAAATGACTATGTGATGAGTATTCACTTTGTCTTTGTTTTTGACATGATTTTGCATGACATGAAGTGAAGATATGGCCGAGTATAATTCTGACTGAGCGAAGATATATTAGGAGTCTATTAGGATTAGTGTGTAGGACAAAAAGTTTTGATCCGAAATACTACTGATAATGTCATATGAGTAGTTAAAGGGCGATTGCTTCAGAAAACGATGCTTTCTGCCTACATCGAATTGATCTCAACACAGGGTGTTGGTTTCGCTCGCTTTGGTCCAGTTCATTCATTCAGAGAGCTGAATCACTTCAAAGTGTCCTAATTCTGGCTAGCCTACTCGAGCTAATTGAGAATACAAAGATTGTTGTTCGTCATTTGGAACTAGGACGTGTTGGTGTGCGGAGATTTGATTAGCTACATGATTAATCACGTGTTGACATCAGTTAGAGAACCATTGGGAAACCTTCAGGGAGTACTGGACGGCTGTTTCGTCGACACAGGTTGGTACTCACCGGCAGTAACTGCTTACGACGAGGATTCCAAACTAGGACATTCCGATTACTAAGGAAGCTCTTAGAGCATTCAGTCACTGAGTCGCGAACTAATGTTCTTAAATTCCGACTTCTACCAATTGTTGGTGTAGACTGAATTGTACCAGTCAGTCAAGTTCGCAGTGTAGCTAGTTACAGGCTAGATGGCTTGCCATAACGGTGTGGTGAGAGCAGGCTGCTAGTCGATTGGTTGGCACTAATCTACGTTAATGTCTAGGTCACTAATATGGGCCGTGAGAGAATATGAACAAGGCTGTTTCAACAACCAATCACAGCAAACTTAAATGTGGACAAATATGATTCGCAGACAGATGGCTCTACTTTCCGAGAAATATCGAAAACAACCAATCATAAGACTGTGTTTGTCTGCTTAACTTCCGAGAAACAACCAATCAGAAGACTGCCTTTTTCTGCTTGCATAAGCCTTATTAATGCACATAAAATATATATAAATACGTGTTGATTTTCGTAATAAAAGGATCTGTTGCCAGCCCTTGTCTTCTGTTGTTACATTTGGTGTCGCTGCCTCCAAAAAGATGAAGATCCCGTGGCCAGCTGCGTTTGAAGAAGGAGACATACGGAGCTTCTTACGTGACTTCGAGGCCGTTGCTGAGCTGGTGGGTGTCAAGGAGCAGGCGGCGAAGGCAGTTGTCTTGGGGACGCTGTTGAGAGGCCGAGCGAAGGCTGCATATGACAGCGTAGACAGGTCAAATGGCACAGCGTCTTGGAAGAAATTGGTCGAACGACTAGTGTCCGAGTTTGACAGCGAAACAGACAGACAGCTAGCAATGCAGCAGTTCCGGTCAATGAAGCTTGGACCTGATGGAGACCCGCTGGTGTTGGCGGTGAAACTGACGAATCTACTTCGACGCGCGCTTCCCACTTTAGATGAAGAATCAGAAGCGCAGTTACTGTCTTCCCAATTCATCGCGAGTGTCCCAGACCACATTTCTCAGCGATTACAACTGGTTAACGCAACGCAGCCGATGGATATTAGTGAGCTGGCGAAGGTGACCAGACAGCTGCTGAGCACAACGGTAGCCGCTATAGACCAACCAAAACCAAACGAATATGAGCAGAAAATTGAAGCATTGCAGCGGGAAGTGGCGGCGTTAAAGTTGGCTGATAGAAAAGACCGGTGTTTTGAATGCGGTAAGTCGGGACACTGGAGAAGATACTGCCCAGAAAGGCGGAAAAGGAAAAATTTCAGACGGTATAATGCTTGTTCTTTCTTTCGTATGAACCTAGATTTAGTGGGGGCTATTGAGAAAGGGCTCTGTATTCGAAGTTGCGAGTGAATGATCGAGAAGTATTATGTTTGATAGATACAGGAGCGGCCGTGTCGTTAATCAATAAGAATTTATGTAAGAGTGTTAGTCCGTGTTCATTGACAGTACAAACAGTAGGCGGGTATGTGTTGCGTATCACGGGTAGATCGAACTGTACGGTCGTTGTTGGTGGCTGCGAGGTGACGTTTCCTTTCATTGTTGTACCCGAACTACAGAGAACGATATTAGGAGCGGATTTTCTGCGTGAGATTGGTGCAATAATCGACACGCAAGCGAACGTGGTGATCACGAAATACGGGCATATCAACATGTATGAGACCAGCGAGATAGCAGCGATTAAGCTGTCGACGGTACACAATGTGACAGAGTTAATTAATAAATACGATCATCTGTTCACTGGAGATGGCGACCCATACGGTTATTGCGATAAGGTGAATCATGAAATTCCGTTAAGTGATCCGAAAGTAAGGTCATTTTTAACGCGAAGAGTTCCATGTCATCTGGAAGGCGAAGTGGAGCGACAAGTGCAAGAGATGTTAAAAGATGATATTATTGAGGAAGCTGATAGCCCGTACAACTCTCCAGTGCTGTTAGTAAAAAAAGCGAATGGGAAGTATTGATTCTGTGTTGATTTTCGACAGTTAAACAGTATGACAGAGTTAAGACCGTGTGCCATGCCAACAGTGGTAGAAACTTTAGATCGCCTACAAGGTGCGGATGTGTTTTCGGTTCTCGATCTTCGCTCAGGATACTGGCAGATACCGATAAAACAAGGTGATAGAGATAAGACGGCTTTCATCGTGGGTCAGACACAATATCGATTTAAACGCATGCCGTTTGGACTAGCAGGTGCACCGTTTACGTTCAGACGACTGATGAAGCTATTACTTAGGAACTTGAAAAACGTGGAGGTTTATGGTGATGATCTCGTCATATATAGTCAAAACGAAAACGATCACGTCAACCATGTAGAAGCCGTGCTGCGACGCATCGAAGAGTTTGGACTACGCGTCAACAAAACCAAGTCTCAGATAGCCAAAAAGAATGTTACTCTGTTGGGACATAAAGTGGGAAATGGTGAGATTAAACCACTGCCGGAGAAAATTTTGACGATTAAAACGATTCCAGCCCCGAATTCAAAGAGAAAACTGAGACAATTCTTGGGTAGAGCAGCGTTTTATAGTCGCTTCGTGAAGAACTTCAATGAGATAGCAGCCCCTCTATACAGGCTACTAGGTGAGCCAAAGTTTGTTTGGTCGGAAGAATCGCAGAGGACATTCGACAGAATTAAACAGCTGCTCGACCACCAACAAATGACGCTAAAACTACCTGTGACAGGAAGACAGTTCACAGTGTGCACAGATGCCAGTGACTACGCTATAGGTGCGGTCCTAAGACAGGACGAGGGAATCGTTGAGTATGCCAGTAGGGTTTTGACCCTCACAGAGAGAAAGTATTCAACGATAGAGAAAGAATGTTTAGCAATGGTATGGGCAGTCGACAAATGGAGACCTTATTTACTCGGCCGGCGGTTCCACATCGAAACTGATCATAAGCCGCTACAATTTTTGAAGACAGCGAGAGACCCACGGGGGAAGTTGTCACGGTGGATGTTGCATCTTCAGGAGTACGATTTTACGATCTCACACGTTCCTGGAAGTGAAAATGTCTTGGCAGATTTGTTATCGAGACCAGAAGATGAGTCTGAGTTGCCCGAGGTCGCTTACGGAGTGCATGCAGTAGAACAAGACCCACTAAGACTTGCACGTAGGCAGAGGTTGGACGATACGCTGAATACAGTAATACAGGTGATCACCAACGGAATAGAAGTGGATCAAACTACGGCGAGTAAGGAGCTAACCACACTACTCAGACAGAGGGATCGACTCAGAGTGAATGCCTACGGGACTCTGACCTGGCGAGAGAACGACGGAAGTTGGCTGGCTGTCATACCTCAATCGTCGCGCCACGACATGATAGAAGAATGTCACCAGCTAGCGCATACAGGCGTGGCCAGAACGACCGACCTCCTAAGACAAAGTATGTACTGGCCAGGTATGAGAGAAGACGTAGCAAGATACGTACTTGGATGTCCACGGTGCCAGCTGATGAAAGGTGACCGGTATATACGACCACCACTTCAGTCGATTCCAGTTACCGCGATAGGTGACTTGTGGTCCGTAGATGTCATGGGTCCATTTCCTCAGACATCCAATGGTAATCAGTACCTCTTGGTGATGACGGAACACGCGACACGATGGGTAGACGCCGTAGCAATCCCAGACCAACGTGCAAGAACCGTGACAGATGCAGTAGTTAGACACATTGTTGCAGACCACGGCGTACCGAAGACAATACTGACAGACCAAGGTCCCTGTTTCGAGAGTGAAGAGTTTACTTCCCGTTTGCAACAGCTGGGCATCAAGAGGATCAGAACGACCCCATACCATCCACAAACGAATGGCCTAACGGAGAGAAACAACCGTACACTGAAGGAGTGGCTGGCCTCGAAGGGCGGGAACTGGGAAACGGAGCTTCCACTGATTTTACTAACACATCGGGCTACCACTCAGGAAACAACGAAGAAGTCACCCTTCCAACTGATGTATGGTAGAAAACCACGATTACCGGTACACAATGAGACCTGGCCCATGCACCAAAAGTGGAGTACGACGAAATTAAAAGCAGAGAGGAAAGAGGCAGTCAAGAATGTAATACGGAAGCAGCGCAGTGATGTCACGAAGTCTCAGATGAAAGAAAGGACGCAGTGCATTACCTTTGCAGTCGGGGACCAAGTGAAGTGTAGAGACAGGAGACATACAGTTGGAGGCGGGCTAGGTTCACGGAAACTCCTTCCAAAGTGGGAAGGACCATACACAATCACAAAAAGACGGGGTCAAGTATATACCATCCGAAGAGGTGATAAACAGAAACGAGTTAACGCCAGTCAGCTCCAAAGATGGGTACAGTGGGACAAGCCGGTCAGTAACAATCCTCAGATAGAGGATGTAGCACCCAGAAGGTCGGAACGTCTGCGCACGAAGCTATTTGACGGGGGGACGAGTGTGGTGAGAGCAGGCTGCTAGCCGATTGGTTGGCACTAATCTACGTTAATGTCTAGGTCACTAATATGGGCCGTGAGAGAATATGAACAAGGCTGTTTCAACAACCAATCACAGCAAACTTAAATGTGGACAAATATGATTCGCAGACAGATGGCTCTACTTTCCGAGAAATATCGAAAACAACCAATCATAAGACTGTGTTTGTCTGCTTAACTTCCGAGAAACAACCAATCAGAAGACTGCCTTTTTCTGCTTGCATAAGCCTTATTAATGCACATAAAATATATATAAATACGTGTTGATTTTCGTAATAAAAGGATCTGTTGCCAGCCCTTGTCTTCTGTTGTTACAACGGTGCATTGTGAATTGTTGGTAATAGGTTGTTGGATTCGATCGGAGGAAGCCTTGGACCTGGGTATCGTGCTAGCTGGCACTCACTAGTGAACAAGGCGTATCTGCAGTCACCTTGAAGGAACTTATGCAGGTTCTGAGATTCAGACTGCAGCACTGGGTGATTAGTGTTTGAGTGTCAGAAGGGACATAAACTGTTTCACTGGCGTTTGGATTTTAGCCTGGTTGATATATACACATTACCTCTAATCCGAGTTTCAACGCTTCCTGCACATTCCCTCCTACCATCTAATACATCTCATGCTAGACTGAATTGTATAGCTGGCTAGCGAAGGAAGGCCTACTTTCCTATGGAGTCATCAACTAGATAGATCGCTGTATATATATATATATATATATATATATATATATATATATATATATATATATTAAAGGCGTACCAAAGCTTTAGAGCTTTTCCCAGTCATGGGTCAAATTAGAACGAATAATGCGTTGACAGATAGAGATTAAAAATGTAATAATAACAAAAAAGAACAGGAAGTTCGTATTAAAGAGCGTAGTAGGATAATAATTACAGAAAAAGTTGATTTTTATTATGGCCATAATAAAGGAAAAGATTGGACGTACTTGTTTTGCATACTCATAGAGGTGGCTTTAATCTATGGTTACTTAGTGTTTCAGCTATGCCTAGATGTTTTGATCTCAATCCCTTGAAGAGGT